AGGCAGGGACCCTGCCCTTCCAGCATAGACAGACATGACAGGCAGGGTCACAGCTCCAGGCCTCGTGTCCTTGGAGGCAGGTCACTCCCCGAATTTCTTCACTACTCTCATCTCCAGATTCAAGACCTCCCTACCATCCGCTTTGGCATCAGATTCCCAGACACGGGTCCTGGCTTCACTGCCAGCTGTGACCTTGAACAAATTCTGTGAACTTCCCTTTCCTTATTGGGTAAATGAGGCTAACAGCAGTTCCTCCCTCGTCAACGAGACTGAGCCCGGTGCCCAGCGTATAATAAGGGTTTGATCCATATTAGCCATTATTAATAGCATTGTTAGTGCCATTAGCATTCTGTCAGTGTAAGCTGCAGCAGAGCCGCTCTGCCCTTCTCTTCATTTTCCAGCTCACAAAGAAACAACACTTTCCTCCAGCGGAAGGGCTCAGCTTCTCCCTAACAGCAAAGCCCTTGCAAAGAGCACTGGCTGCCCAGGGAGCCAGGAAAGTGAAGTGCCTTGTTCTGCTCTCACCTGCCTCAAAGTGGGTCCCAGGTTTCACCTGATCTGGTACTGGCCAGCACTTCTACCATGTTCTGCATGCATACACAGTCTACGCATCTGGGCACATCTGGGATGGGTGGGTACTCCCCAAGGTCTCACCTGCACTTTAGGGGTGGTGCAGGACAGCAGCAGCTGCTGAAGCTCCCTCCACACCACCTCATTCGTTCCCTGGTCATGTCCCTGTCTCCAGGAGGGACTGGCGGCAGCAGTCCTGAGCCTCGGCCCTGAAGCAGCAGACGGCAGCCCTCCCTGCTCAGGCTGCTGCCCTTGGCCTTTCCCCTGTCACTCAGGCTCCCACCAGCCGAGAGATTAGCATTCAGACGAGGGCGGGAAGGTAGCAGGGTTATGGGCTCCTGTCCTCCGCGGAGACTGGCTTAGAAAGCAAAGTCTGTCACAGCCTCCTGCACACAGAGGCCCTTGATGGGTGTTCTCGCCCGTCCCCCACCTGTCCTCTGCCTCTTCTCGTTTGTCCATCACCCGGCTGTGGTGTATTGGGAGAGATTAAAGGGAAGACCGTCGGGGCGAGGAGGGGAATTTCCATCAGGGACTCACAGACGGCGACACTCGCTAGTGTTCTAAGCAGTGCCCACCTCACCCTCACAGCAATTAACTCTGTCTTAAGCGGAAGCCCAGAGACAGCCGCAGCCTTCTCAAGGGCACAGAGAAAGGAGGTGGCTCTAGCCCTTTTGCTCTTAGGTTCCTGTTGTTACCCCATCAGAGGCAGCACCCCACCCCAGCAGGCAGCACCCCAAACCAGCAACCGGCACCCCATACCAGCAACCAGCACCACACACCAGCAGCCAGCACCCCACACCAGTAGCCAGCACCACATACCAGCGGCCAGCACCCCAAACCAGCAGCCAGCACCACATACCAGTGGTCAGCACCCCAAACCAGCAACCGGCACCCCATACCAGCGGCCAACACCCCAAACCAGCAACCAGCACCCCCAGCGGCCAGCACCACACACCAGCAGCCAGCACCCCATGCCAGCAATGGGCACCCCACACCAGCAGCCAGCACCCCACGCCAGCAGCCAGCACCCCACGCCAGCAGCCAGCACCCCACGCCAGCAGCTACTCATTTCTTGATCTCAGCTCTGTTTCCTCCGTTGTCCTTAACTTTCTGTCTACCACACACATGAATATTCCTGTTCCTATTTCCAAACAGCAGCTATTGCTAAGGAAATGGGAAAGGGAAGGAGTCAGCCTCTGTGAGAACAATGTCATGGCCAGGAATTAATTGACACCCCTCATACTTTAAAGACGCTCCCTTGACCTGAGTGATGGGAGTTAGTGAGCTCAGGGAGGGCATCTGTGAGGTTGGCACCTCCTGGGGAGGAGCTCCAGGTGAGGAAGGGCACCTGGGCAGTGGGTGTCTCCTGTGGAGGGCACCTGGGCAGTGGGTGTCCCCTGTGGCGGGCACCTGGGCAGTGGGCGTCCCCTGTGGCGGAGCTTCAGATGAGGGAGGGCACCTCGGCAGTAAGAGCCTTCCATAGAGGAGTTCCAGATGAGGGAAGGACTTTGTGCAGCAGGAGCTACAAATGTGCAGATTGCACAGAGAACCCAGGGTGGGAGAGGCCCTGGGAAGAAGCCGAGCGTGGGCAGGGTGTGCGGGGAAGGTGTAAACACAGTCTGCTCCCACCAAAGCCAGCCTGCTCCCTGGGGGAGAGGGCCCCTCCCTCCCAACCCACATGGCTCCCCAGCTGCCAGGGCCCAGGGAGTCACATCCCCCCCGCCGCCAACAAGCCCCCTCCCCTCCCATCCCATCCTTGTCCTTCATCTGGAACCAGTCGCCGAGGAGGTTCCCAGAGCAGTGCCGCAAAGAGGTGCTGTCCTGTTGGAAGTGGGTCTGGGCTGGGAGCCAGCCCTGGGACTGCTATACGACCTTGGCCTGGCAATTTCTTGGATCGTTGGAAGGAGGCGGGCAACTCGGAAATGGCAGAGACCAGAAACAAGGATGAAGTGACAGGAACATGGTGACTAGATTAGAGAATGATGGCAAAGCTGGGATCAGAGAACACAGACGGGTCCCCAGGAACAGTGCCCTCTGGCCATCAGCCCGACAGTCCTGCCACTATGATGACTCACGCCTCCCAGGAGAAAAATGGCTTGACAGGAGCTGAGACAGTTGGCCACGGATCGGGTGGACACTCCAGCAGGTTCTTTCCCCTAGTGTGACCCCACACACACACACCTCGGTGCCCTGTGGAGAGCCAGCTCCCACAGTATTACCTGTATACAAACCCAAGCCAAGCTCCCTGCAGTACCAGCAGCCTCTCCCGGTAGGTAGCTCCCCACAACGGTGGGTCCCTCAGCTGTGGCATCTCTCACCCCTTTCCTCCCTCCGGGGAAGTGAAGCAGCACGGGGATCCTGCTGTCTAGGGGACTGTCTTCTGCCTCCCGAAAGTCAGGGGCAGAAACTGCGCAGGCAGAGGCATAACTGCTGGGCCAGCAGCAGGGAGCTGCACAGGGAAGACAGACGCATGGGGGGTGTCTTCTGAAGATGAATGGCTCCCAGACAGTCAGGAGCAGCTGCCCCTGCTCCCACAGGGTGAGCCTGGTTCTGGGAGCAGGAGCGGAAATGGGCTTTTATCTCTGCTCTGGACCGCACAGGACAGTAAGGAAAGAAATGGCAGAGCAGCAGGGGGCAAGGGAGGTTGTGGTTGCCACTGAGTTACTGAGAAGTCAGAGTGATAAAAACAGGTGCCACGCTTTCCCCTTCCCACAAGCCGCTGCCCATTTGGAGCGCACACAGGCACGCGCGCACACACACTCACAAACACAGAGCACATTCAGCACACAAGCTGGTGTTTGCTCCCGGCCAGCTTCAGGCAGACATGCCGCAGATCCAGCTGGCCTGTTTTACCTATAATTTCAGGAGAGCAGCCAATGGCAGGGTGAGTTCTAGGGACTGAAAAGAGGCAGATGTCACAGGAATGAGCATCTGCTGCAAAGTGTCCAGGCCCAGCCCGAGACTCCAGGGGTTTAGCAGAACAGCTCCTGAGCTGACAGGTGGCCAGGCCAATAGAACCCCCTTTGCCGAGCGGCTGCAAAGTCAAGAAGGTCGTGAGCTTCAATCCCCCACCTAACACCGTTGTGGTGGCAAGGGGCTTCTCCCTGTGTCTTCTTGTGCGTGTACCATGGATATCAGGACTGCTGCCTGGGTTATGTCAGGATCGGATTAGAGACTGAATCGGGGAGCCCTCGATGACTAAGCCCAGGCTATCCTTTATCCTTCCCTTGTTTCTCAAAGCTTCTTTCTCTCTGCTTGCAACCAACTCTTGCCTGAGATGCGGGGCTTCCCTGCCATTAGCCTGGGGGAGCCTGGAAAGTCCCTCTCTCTGCCTTCTCCAGCTTGGCAGTTCCTCCAACCAGGAACTCGGGAGCACAAGCATCCATGTTCTTCCTGCCAGCGCCAGCCTTGCTTGCGAGCCCTATAGTCACGGCCTGTCTAGCAGCAGACTTGGGGGTTGGGGAGAAAAGCCTACCTTCTCCTTGACTACTTCTCCTGTTATCCCTCCTGACGCTGCCTCCGGCCCCACAACATCCTCCTGGGATAGGGGGCGAAGCAGGAGTCCAGCTAGAAGGGAAAGTCAAAACAGTTCACAGCTCAGAGGTGATATGTGTCTTTCAGGGTGGCCCGTCCCAGTCCCAGGCCACTACCTCTCTCTTAAAGGTCAGCAGCACCGCCCTTAGGATGTAGCTCAGCCAACACCTCACCCCCAAGCCTAGAAAACACGGTCAGGACCACACTCATTCTCTTCAAACCAGCCCTTGCCCTGTGGCCTGAAGCATAAACAGTCAGCACAAGACAAAGCCACCCTCACTCAACCTCCAGCAGTGACCGCTACAGACTGCCCCCGTGCCCCCCCCGTGGCCCCGCCCTCTGCCCTCCAGGGCCCCTGCCTTTACCTGTCTGGGCCGGTGGGTCACAGTCCCCAGAGCTGAGCTGCCTGAAGAAGCGAAGGCCTACCTCACAGGTTCTTTCTCCCTGAACAGAGGAAGCACTGGAGTCAGAAGACGGAATTGAACTTGTGTTTAGGGCTCTCCTCTCCCTCCTGCTTCCCCTGTGCCTCCCCAGCCAGTCCTGTGGCAGCCTCCATCAGCAACTGGTTCCTCGCTGACAGACAGCGTTTCCAGGTAACTGGGTGCCAAGGAATTAAGAGGTAACCAGACTAGGCTTGGCTAGACAGTTCCTAGATTTGGTCTCTTCTCTCTGTGCAGGGGGTCTAGGCCCATTTTTTATAGGCTAGACAGCTATTTGGAATCAGATGGTCCCCCATTCAAATCTCCTCAGCCATTACCGAGTGATTATAAACAACCACGCCCTACGAAGCCTAAGGTTATTGAGAGTTACTGTGCGAGAAAAGTCTGGGAGCCAGGGGTGGTAACGCACGCCTTTAGTCTCAGCACTTAGGGACAGAGGCAGGCGGGTCTCTGAGGGTTTGAAGCGAGCCTGGTCTACATGACAAGTTTCAGGGCACCATAGTAAAACCCTGTCTCAAAACACTCTGATGGAAAAGAAAAGAAAGGAAGAAAAGAGAAAGGAAGGTCTAGGGAAGCACAGAGCACCCATTGGCTATGTATCCCAGGAGTAGCACCCCAGGAGTATATGCACCCCAGGAGTATAAGCACCCCAGGAGTAGCACCCCAGGATAGCACCCCAGGATAGCACCCCAGGAGTATATTCACCCTAGGAGTAGCACCCCAGGAGAAGCACCTCAGGAATACTGCTAGCAGTTAAGTTCCACGGTGCTTCCTAGCAACCTTGCAACCACTGTCAACAACGCCAGCTTTAGGGGTCACAGTACATATTTACCCTTCCACACTGACTGAGAACAAGTTGGCAAGGACACCCTCCTTCCAGTGGGCCCTGAATCCCAAAGCTCCTGAAGATATTTTTTGCCCTCTTTTTTTTCACTAAGGATAAGAGATGATTTCAAGATGGCTCCCATGCTGGGGAGTCCATGGGTAGGCACATAATGTCTTACACATAGGTACTAAATAGATACTGCTTTACTTTTTTAGTGTTTCGAGGGGCATAGAGGCCCCTTATTATCCAAAAGACTTTGATAAGCCAGTGAAGGAAAAGTCTAGAAAAATACACCACTTTGCCCCCCACCCCACAAAGGCCACATGGCTTCAACCTAGGGAAGAGTTAACTTTCTGGCCACTGGAGACAGCGTCCTGCCCGCAGGGGCTACCCAGCCAATGGCACTCAGTGCTGATGATGTCATGCTCCTCCTGTGCCTTCTATTGGGGACTGGACAGCGAATCCTGCTGGAGGTTCAGGCAACTGAGCAGCTGAGCCCGGTCGGTGGCAGAGAAAGGAGGAGGAGGGAGGGCCAAGGACAAGAGAGCAAATCAGCCCCCAGCGGCTCCTGCCTCCTCCCTCTGTTCCCTGCTCCTTCAACAGAAGGTTCCCCTGGGAACCTGTCCTACACTCTCATCATTGCAGAAGCAAATCAACACAGCCTTGGTCCAGTAGAGGGGGGCATGGACTCCCTCTCTCACTTAACCTGCCCACAGGGAGTGACTGTGGTGAGGGCTAGAACACACACACGCACACACTCACTAACACACCACACATACACACTACACACACACACCACACACTTACACACCACACACACACTCACACCCCACACACACTCACACACCCCACACACTCACACACCAAACACACACACTCACACACCACACACACACTCACACACCACACGCGCACACACCCCACACACTCACACACACCACACACACGCTCACTCACATCACACACTCACACACAACACTCACACACATCACACACACGCTCACTCACATCACACACTCACACACCAATACACACTCACACACACACTCACACACCACACACACGCTCACTCACATCACACACTCACACACCACACTCACACCACACACACACTCACTCACATACCACACACACTCACACACCACATACTCACATAACACACTCCCTACACACACACTCACACCACACACTCACACACCACACACACACACACACATCAATAGTTTCCTTGGCACCACTTCCCCCACCCCTGACTCTCCTTCACCTGCCCGAAGACTGAAGGTTTGTGTCCGAGCTGCTGCCCACAACTGTCCCATCCTCTCTGCTGGGCTCTCTGGAAGGGAAGAGCAGGCAAGAGAACCTGTAGGCAGCGCTCAGCTTCTGTCCCACCCCTGGTCACAGACTAGCCGCCCCGGACTAATGGGCCGCCTACTCCCACCCAGCACCACCTTCTCCCAGTGGCCCTTTCAAGGTGTCCTTCAAATCCCCCCCAGACCAGCTAGGGGTCCAGGCGGCTACTGCTCCCCTCAATTTATCTGTACCCCCCTGGAAGTTCCTCCCACCCACAACCCCGATGTGCAGCCCCATCAGTCTCTCACGGTTCCACCCGGTTGTTGAATCTGCGGCGCCACAGCATGGCCAAGCTGAGCAGGAAGAGGGTGGTGCACATGGCTCAGCTGCCCCATCCCCCCCTGAAGACCAACTCCACCGGAAGAAGGCCACAGGTGAGGGGCCACAATGGCCCCCGGCCACCTCTCCCAAGCCACCCTCTGTGTTTCCTGAAGTTCCTGGGGATGGATTAGGAGGTTCAAGCTGATTAGTGGAGTCAGCAGAACTGACCTGGTGAAGGGAGATTAAACTCACTGGGCCCAAGATCTCCCCTCTAGTGGCAGAGTAAACCAACCTCCTTCAAGGTATACTGAGTGGCTCTAAGTGCCTGTCCAGAATGTTCTCCCCAGAGCATTTGATACTGTCTGGGCTTCAGTGCAATCAAGTTAAGTGAGTTACTTCCGTACAGCGTTAGAAGCACCTGCACAGCATTGGGGACATTGCAAGCATCAAGGAGCACTTCAAAGAGGATCTGGGGCCTGGCCCAGTGACAAGGACCTGTAAGCCACTGGGAAGGGGCGGGATCTCAAGTTCAAAGCCTGGCTGAGCAAAAGAGGGAGTTGGAGGCCAGCCTGAAAACCTAACGGGAGTATCTCAAAGAGACTCAGTGGTAGATAGAGGGCTTTCCTGCATCCTAAGGTCCTGAGTTCAATCTCCAGTACAGGCAAGAAAGAGAGCGAGCGCGGGAAGTGTATGAAGCTGCAGGTGCTACAGAAGGCTGGGCCCTCAGCCGGCTCTGCTTGGCTGCTGACAAGAAGCCTGCCAGACTCCTCGGTGACAGGCTGTGCGGCAGAAGGGAAGCAGAATGGCCAGACAGGCCACAAGAGCAGAGCCTGCCTGTGAACCTGGCTCGCTTGCTCCCTCTGCCAGCCCTCTGAACTTTCCTCATTACTCCCCTTTCAGGGAGAGGCAGAGTTGAGGCGCGCACTCCCAGATGTGAACTATAAATTCTATCTTATATAACTATCTTATATAATTTAGATATAAATTATAGGCTTATCAATTATGTGTGAGACTGCTGTACCGATATATCCCTAGGTTATGAGGGATGACGATGGGAGGAGAAGATGGAAATCAATAGAAATATTCTTTCCACGTCCCACCCGCCAGGACCTCCTGGGCAGCTGCTTGGGTCTCAAGAACTAGAGGGGAGTCGGCAGGGCAGGGCGGGGACATGCACTGAGTGATGTCGGGACCTGACCGCACACTGCCCTCCATCCCTTCTAAGACCTTTGTTTCCGTCCCTTACCATGGGAGGTAATGCGTCCTGCCCGGGTGCCCCATCAGGTACCCCAACACTGAGCTCCAGGGAGGGCCCTACTGGGCCTGTAAAGGTACTTGGTGACCATCAGGACTGAACCCTGAACCTTAAAGTCTGATTTTATCTTTCAGATATTTAAATTTTTGTTATTATTATTGTGTGTGTGCACGAGAGGAGGGGGGAGAGGTAAGTGCAGATGGAGGTCAGAGGGTAACTTGCAGGAGGCATTTCCTTTCCCATGTGGGTCCCGGGGATGGAACTCACATCATCAAGGCTTTGGGAGCCAGCAAGAACTTTTAAAGGCCTTAAATCAACAGAAACCAAAGCTGAAGAGGAGAGCCACCTCCTGGGCAACAGGGCTCCTGTCTTCCTTACTCCTAAGCAGGGTGAGGGCTAACAGGGAGCCCTGGGGAGAACCAGAGCCACCTCAGTCATCTGTATCAACCTTTGTGGTCTCAGGGTTTCCGCTGTCCATGCCCAGGCCTGAACACCTCTGGCAGGGTGACGTTTCTGGGTCCCTCAAGACAGGGCAATCCTCCACTCTGTCCTAATCTCGCCCCTCCATGAATAGTCTGTGATGATGGATTTGCCTAATGGTTTCCAAATGGAATCTTTGATGGTGCCAGATGTCTCCATTGTCCTGAGCCTTATGAGTTCTGACTGCCCAGCTCCTCTCTGTCACTTCTGACTGCCACTGCCGCATGAAGCCTCAACGAAGGCCAGGGCCAGAGTTAAGGACAGTGTCTTGGAACTTCCCTCCTGCTTGCTGGCATGGGGTTGGCGTTGGTGGGGAAGAAAAGGGGTCACAGGCCCTTGGTTTCCCAGACTGGGCTTGCGTTCAAGTTCAGAGAACCAGCAGGAATGGCAGATGAGAAGGAAGACCGCCTATTCATAGCCCTAAACCTGCCAGAACTTGGGGTCCCCAGGTCTGAGAATAGTGCCTTGGGCCCAGTCTTAGGCTCAAGAGCAGTGGGACTACAGGGGAAGCCCAGGTTTGTCTGCAAGTTCGTGTCCTCTCCAGCAGGCGACGGGAAGCAGTGCCTGGGTGTGTTTGACTTTGAGTCAGTTCCCTACCGCGTGAAGGGTACGCACACACACAGGTCCAGACACCGCGCATCGGGAGTCTGATCCCTGCGCCCCCAGCCCCGCACCAGTCCGGGGGCGCACTTCGGCGCAGCCCGCGCTGCCCATTCCGCGTGACGCCCCTAGTCCTCCCAGCCCCTTCTGCACATTGGCCACACCTACCTCTCTCAGCGAGGACCGCGGTGGCCTTGCTGGCGGGTGGGTGGGCAGGCGGGCAGACGCCAGCCGCGACGCCCCCATCCCGCCCAGCCTTCACCTTGCCAGAATTGGCTCCGCGACACAGGACTGGGGATTTGGAACGGATTCATTTTTTTAAAACATTTTTTCCCCAGCAGACCACATCCCCGCCCCCAGCTCGCAGTCCCCCGCCCCCCGCACATATACCCTGCACACACGCGCGCGCGCGCACACACACACACACACACACACACACGCACACACACGCGCGCACACACCCGACGCGCACAGACACACACGCTCGCTCCCTCCCTCCGGCGCTCTACTCCGAGCCCTCCCGCCCGCCTCGCATTCACCGGCCTCGGCTCTGGCTCCTCGCTCCCGCCGCCTAGCGAAGCCGCGCAGGGCTCGGAGCTGCTCATGGAGAAAGTGCCGGGCGACATGGAGAGAGAGCGCAGGGAGCGGAGCGAGGAGCTGTCCGAGGCGGAGAGGAAGGCGGTGCAGGCTACGTGGGCCCGGCTGTATGCCAACTGCGAGGACGTGGGGGTGGCCATCCTGGTGAGGTAGGTGTCGCTCCCGGCTTGGCGGGGCCCAGGACAGGGAGGGTGACAACGGCTGCCGGCAGAGGCGGGCTCGGCCCTCTGCGAGCTCCGGCGCCACCTCCCCAGCGATTGGGGACAGGTCATGGTGGTGGGGGCGCCTTGGGGCGATGGAAACCCTAGCTGATTCCTTCCTGACCCGGGTCTTTGGGCTCACGAGGAACTGGACGCGGGAGGGCACTTGGTTCCTCTGACCTCAGAACTCACCCATCCCAGTCGGTCTTCCTCATGAGTGACCCTAGCAACCCAACTGAGATGTACAGCCATCTGACCAGCCCCTCAAAGGGAACGGTAGGGACTCCCCATTTTAGAGACGACTCCCCGTTTTAGAGACAGGCAGAGAAACTGAGGTTTAGCCAGGAAAGGGTTTCAAGAGGATACAGAACGCCCTGTCCAGCTCTGCCGTTTGGAAGAGCGCAGCAGTGAGCAGGGGACTAGAGGTCAAGAGGCCCAGCTGCCCAGTTGCCCCTCCCGGGCCTCAAAAGTGAGGCCAGTGAGAGCTGCAGGTGAGGCAGGTGGGTGAAGCCAGTAGGCTTTAGGATGCAATCCTGGCTGAGTTTGTTAGGGATTTTGGGGGGGGGGTTGGCTTTCAAGAGACAGGGCCCCACTCTGGACTCTCCAGCCAGGTAGGTATACAGAAGCACAGTGTCTGTCCCCAGGATCCCTGAAGACCCCCACCCTAAGTGATGCTGTATTTACACACCTGCACGGCTAATATCCCCCAACCCCACAAGCTAGACACTGACTAGTTACAAATCACACCTGGACTATTCCCACACACGCTGGACCCAGGGGTACAGGCAGAACAGGGGCACCCACTCTTGGCAGGGGGAGACTGTAAAGCCTAGGGCAGAACAGGGCAGCCTTTTGTGAAGACAGGGTGACTCCTGGGATGGACGGGCCACTGCCGCGGTTGACTACTTTCCTGTCCTGGCCCCTTCCCGGCTGGCTCTTCTCCCCTTCTGCCTGCCTCTGCCTCCTCCAAGCCTGGGACTTACCCAACTCCCCGCTGAGATGCCTGGATTCCAACTCAGAAGTAGATTTTGGAGGAAAAGAGCAGAAGAGTTTTAGAGAAGTGGGGGAGAGTTCCCGAGGAAGAGGAAGGGACGGCTGTTTCAGAGCTCACTGCCCTGGGTGGCGGGAACCAAGGAGGGCCACTGGGATCCCAAAGCCGCAGACAGATTGGCAGTGTGGGCACCCACACACAAGCACACAGCGGGGAGTGGAGCCTCAGATGCGCCAGCCCGCATTCCCGGAGAGCTGCTCTCAGCCCTTGTGCTGCACCCCTAGGCCCACAGAGCACATGTAGGCACCAAGGGGAAACAAGGCAAAGCCCGAAGGACCTGGAGATGTCAGTGAGTTGCTCCCCTAGGAATGGGGCAGGAGAGGGCACAGAAGAACAGGATCTGAGAGCAGGTTTCATTCTGTACCCTGGGAGCCCTTTTGTCCTCGGTTTGCCCCCTGACACCCAGGGACCAGGCCTGGCTGGGGAAGGTACTTGATGATAGACTCAGTACTCAGAGGCCCACAGTGACCCTGAGAAGACTGGAGATGGGGAACAGATCTGTTTTGCAGAGCTTTCCAACAACCACACCTCACCTAACTCCAAAGCCAGTCGGACAACCCTGGGCCAACACTGGATCAGCCACTCCCCATGACTCTAGATGCCACTCTACGGCTATCTGCCCTAGGCCTGGCCAATAGAGGGGGCAAGGCCAAGACCCCTAGCTTCTCATAGCTTCACGGGACCCATCCATAGATCTCGCTCACAAACTCATGTTCTGACAAGCCCCAAATGTTCATCCACGGGACCAGGCCCTCTGACCACCCCTCCCCGTTTCTGTCCCTACCGCCCACTCTGCCTGCAGGGTAGGGGGCAAGGAGGAGGCTGGTTACTAGCAGAAGGGAGTTCCTGGTGGTGGGATATAGGAGGAGCTTGTTAGCTGCCTTAGGGTCTGAGGCAGACCCCATGTTTCCAGTCCTTGTGAGAGAGGAACCCGAGGAAGGAACACCACCCTCCCTCCTGGTTGTAACGCTGACACCTTCCCCCTCATACACAGACAAGCCTATTTCAGGCTCTTGGAAGCCCAGATGCCTCTGGGAGCTGAGAAACTCCCCAAGACTGGCTGCTGAGGCTTCTCCCTGGCAGCTCAAGCCAGCCAGGGAGGGGTGGGAGGAAACACAGGCTGGAGGGAAAGCCAGGATGACAGCAGAGCCCAGGGCCCCTACTCCCTAGGAAGGTCCTCCCTCGGGGCCACACACGGTGATGCTGTGTTGAGGCAGGAGACCTGCGCTCAGGACCCATTCCTGGCCTGCAGTCCATGGCCAGCAGCGTTGAAGTCTGGTTCATTCTGTTGCTGCCTCTTGGGCATCCTTGGGGACCAGCCAGTTCCTGATCCATACGCTGAGGGGCAAAGCAGCTCTTGGATAGTAAATGCTCAATGAGTGCCCCCTGGGTCGTCCTGCTTGGGGAGAGGAAAGAGTTTCTAGCCTGCGGCAACTAAATACTGTAGAGATGCCTTGCAGATCGCAGCACACCATACCCCCCCATTAATTTTTGTTGTTGTTGTTTAGTTGTTTGCAATTGTGAAAACCAAAAAGCCTGAGATGCTTATTTTGTGTAGGGGTGGGAGCATGTTTGTATGCCATGTGGAAATCAGAAGACAGCTGGCCAGAGCCAGTTCTCTCCTTTCACCTTGTTGAGGGAGTATCTCTCTTGTTTCTGCCACTGTGTCCTAGGGACCCTGTCTCACTGCCTAGGAGTGCTAGGTTTACCCGTGTGCCGTGGCACCCTGCCTTTTGGTTTTCTGGGAACCAAGCTTGGTTGCCAGGCTTGTGCAGTGAGTAATTTGACCCACTGGCTTGTCTCCCTGGCCACCGAGGCATCTTTCCTCATGTGTCCCTCATTAAAAGCTTCCAGAGAAATCCTGTGTATTTTCAGGCCCGCTGCCACCTCGGTCCACATCCGGGTACCTCTGAAGAAGCCAACTGTGGAACTTTTCTCGAATTCTTACAGACAGGAGGAGGGAGTCACAAAGTGTTTGTCCAAGGTCACACTCAGCATCCAAGCAGGTCCCTCGCCTTCCCCACATGGACAGTGCCCTGGCCACCCAGTCAGAACCTTCCTGCCAAAAGCGGCTGTAGCCCCAGAAGGGCTTGCCGGCCAGATGTTCTGTGTCTGTCTCCCTCACATCAGACTCTCAGGCCTGAGCCACAAGCTGCGAGCTTCCTCTGATGCCTCAGACAGACAGACAGACAGACAGAGGGTGGTGTCACCCAACAACACAGGTCAGGATACTTTACACACTTTCTGAGGAATCATTAAAGATGTAGTTTCTCATTGAGTCCCAGGTAGGGGGCCCATAGGATCAGAGCACTTGTGAGACCCTGCCTCCACTTATGGTGACTTATGGTGTGGGGTCTGGTCCGACAGACTCAAAGGGTAGCAGAGAAAACTACCCGGTGGCACCGATGGCTATGGCAGGAAGGCCACACTGGGTGGCCAGAGAGGGGCAGGTCTGGCATGCGGGATGTGTCAGGAATCCCATTTCACGGAAAGGAAGGCTGGCCAATTACCACTGTGCAGTTGTTGAACTGGGATCGAGGACTCTGAGCAGCGACGGTGAAGACCTGGCGCTGGGGGAGCGGATGGGCACAGTTGATAAGAAGTCTGGGGCATCTGACTTGGGTGTAAAATAGGGAGCCGATGACTGGTTTTGAGTATGGGAATGATGTAATGTACGACATCTGGGGGGTTAAACCCATTTAGATAAACCACAGCAGGAGACGGCCAGTGTTAGGATGGCCCAAATTCTGCTTTGGGGGATTTTGGAGGGGTGTGGTTGTCCATGCCTTTAATCTCATCATTTGAGAGGCAGAGACAGGCTATGCCCATGAGTTCAAGATCTCACAGATAATCACAAACCATACCACAAAGGCAAAATCAGTTGTTTAAATTAGTCAGTATTTGCTGCGGGGCATCAAGGAGAAAGCGACTGAGCTGGGAGAGAAGGGTGTCTCTCCTCAGTTCTCCACTGGCTGAGTGAGCCCAGTTAGGTCACTCTGGCCTCACTTTGTTCACAAGGAGGGTGCCCCCTCTCTTCTAAGGATGCCCGTGGGCACTGTGGACACCTTGTCAACCCTTGTCAGCGACAAGCCATTTCCTTTATCCTCGGCCCCCACAGTGTAGGAACGCTGACACCCATTTTATGGATGAGGAACCCGACGCTTAGAGAAGATCAATAACGGGCGCTCACCTAGGAAGCACCAGGCCCAGGATTCGATCCCCAGCACTGAGAGAAAACTTACATAAGAAGCTGGGTATGGGCGTATGGGCGGGAAGCATGGCAGTG